AGACCAGGTGACACCCCTGTTGCTAAAGGAGACAAGTTTAGTCTCAATCAGTGCCCTAAAGGTAACCTTGAAATTCAGGAAATGCAGAAGATTCCTTATGCTTCGGCTGTAGGAAGTCTAATGTATGCTCAGGTATGTACGCGTCCGGATATTGCGTACATTGTTGGGATGTTAGGCAGATACTTAAGCAACCCTGGTATGGATCATTGGATAGCAGTCAAAAGGGTTATGAGGTATCTTCAGAAAACAAAAGATTACATGCTCACATACAGAAAATCAGAGAAATTAGAGGTCATTGGGTATTCGGACTCTGATTTTGCTGGATGCCAAGATAGCAGGAAGTCTACATCAGGCTACATTTATATGTTAGCAGGAGGAGCTATATCATGGAAAAGTGTCAAACAAACACTAGTAGCTTCCTCCACTATGGCAGCAGAATTTGTAGCTTGCTATGAGGCATCCAATCAGGGAATATGGCTGCGAAATTTTGTCACGGGACTGCGCATTTTGGAAAATGTTGAAAGACCACTAAGGCTATATTGTGACAATAAATCTGCAGTAATGTATTCCAATAACAACAGGAGCTCAACTAAGTCAAAACATATTGACATTAAGTTCCTGGTTGTGAAAGAAAGGGTACAGAGTGGACAGATATCCATAGAGCACATTGGGACAAACTCCATGATAGCTGATCCTCTTACTAAGGGATTGCCACCTAAGGTCTTTCATGAGCATACTGCTCATATGGGTGTGGTATTATTTGAGGATATTATGTTTTAGTGGGAGTTTGTATTTGTGGTGCTTTATGTTTGGTTGTATTGTCTGATCAGAATAAAGTATTCAGTTAAGACACTCTGTTACATTATGTTTGGTTTTGACCTCACTAAGGAGGACCAGTTGAAAATAGACATGTACTGATCACATTGCATGTAATTTTCATGCTGCACATCCATGATTGATCTATGTCGTTTGATTGTATTGGTATATGTGACCATTGATGGGTCGAGTCACGATAAATGTGACGAAGGCCGCTTTGATCCTATATTGATATAGTCAATGGACGAGATTGTTCGGAAATACCTTTTCAGTGATAGCATTTTTGAGCTCATAAGGTTATACACAATTTAAGGAATCATATGGTGCCCAAGTGGGAGATTGTTGGATTTAATCTAATAAATCTATTTGTGGGCACATATGATTAATCATTGTGTATTGCTATCTTTCAGGATAACCCACTGAAGTGATCAATTAAGTTGGGTTAATTTGGTATTTAAATGATCATGGGGTTATATGTGCAGATACCAGGTTGTAATTGTAATTTATTGAGGGGCTAAATTGCAAAAATACAACATCTATAAATAAGGGGTTATGGTCCCTAACCTAGGGTTACATTCTCTAATTCTCTACACCCCCATCTAGCTAGAGAAATTCGGTTTTAGAGAGAACCCTAAGGTTAGAGGATCCAACACCCAAAATCAAGATCAAGCAATGGATTCAGGTATAAGCTTCCGCTCTTTTAGATCCTTGTTAATCTCTTTGAATTAATCATGGCTATATGGTTTTAGATCTCAAGTTTTATGATGTAGATCTAACACTCGCCACTTGGATGCCTTACAAATCAAACTTAGGGGGTATATATAGGCTTTGTTATGAGGTGGTGTATATGATTGGAGGGTTGGTAATTACTATTGGGGGTTGGTAATTACTGTAGCACTGATGGTAGGTGGGGGTAGATGGCAGGCGATGATTTTCACACTCCCCCTTATCATTGACTTCTCTATTCATAAGTCTAAGTAGATCTGTAAATCATACTTCAATGCTTGGATTTTTCTATCACAACTTGTCTCCATTCATCATTCCTGTATGACTCTTTCACGTCTTCTATTACAACAACATTATCATACTTGGGATTTGGCTTCCTAGCTCTGGTCGATCTTCAAACCTGTCATGTTTGTTCTTTACCTATATCTTCTATCTGACTCTGGCATTTCTCTTTTGATGTTATCTGATGAACACCAGTTTTCCATGGATTATTTTCCTTCGGAGATGTAGGAGAACTTGGTTTTGTCTTTTTTGACTGTTGCAGTTCTTCTTCTTGACTTGGCTTCTCCAGCTTCTTCTATAACTGATCCTTTAGGTCATTGGAGCATAGGAGCATAACTTCTTGTAGAGTCCACGAAGACGAGGCTTCGTCGAATACTACATTTCTTGATGTGTAGCATCGCCCAGTTGCGGGATCATAACATCTCCATCCTTTTCTTTTGTTGTCATACCCTACGAAAATGCGCCTCACAGCCTTCTTGTCAAATTTACTACAAAGGTGATTACGCATAAAGGTATAACACACACAACCGAAAACTCTAAAATGACCTACTGTTGGTTTGATATTCCACAGCTTTTGAAAGGGTTATGTGAACTCTAATTTTAGTTGTGGTAACCACTTGATCACATGTGTCGCAGTTTTCATACATTCGACCCAAAAACATATTGACACGTTCTTAACATGAAGCATGCTTCAGTATATCTCCTCAAGATGATGATTCTTCCTCTTAGCTATGCCTTTAGATTCATTGCGTACGCACAAACAATGGAGGAGTACACATCGAAGAAGTTTTACGATTACCTAAAGTAGTATAAGATGCGACAGCTAACGTGCCCAAATAGTCCGCAGTAGAATGACATAGCTAAAAGAAAGAATCGTTATTTACCGAAGCATGCTTCATGCCAAGAACGTGCCAGGACGTTCTTGGGTCGAGTGTATAAAAATTGCAGCACACGTGATCAATCAGTTACCACAACTAAAATTGGAGTTCATATCACCCTTTCAGAAGCTGTGGAAAGTCAAACCAAAAGTTAGTCATTTTAGAGTTTTCATTTGTGTGTGTTATGTCTTTGTGCCTAATCACTTTCGTAGCAAGTTCGATAAGAAGGCCGTGAGGTGCATTTTTGTGGGGTATGACAACAAAAGAAAATGATGGAGATATTGTGATCCCACAACTGGGTGATGCTACATACAAAAAATGTAGTGTTCGACAAAGTCTCATCATGGTGGACTCCAAAAGAAGTTATGCTCCCAAACTCCAATGATCTAGAGGATCGGTTAAAGAAGAACCTGGTGGAGCCAAGTCAAGAAGAAGAACTGCATCAGTCAAAGAAAGACAGATCTAAGTTCTCCTACATCTCAGAAGGAAAATAATTCATGGGAGACTAGTGTTCATCAGATAACATCAGAAGAGGAGCGCCCGAGCCAGATAGAAGATATAGGTAAAGAACAAACATGACAGGTTCGAAGATCGACCTGACCTCGGAAGCTAAATTCCAAATATATTAATGTTGCAGTAATAGAATACGTGAAAAAACCATCGGAGAATGATGAATGGAGACAAGTTGTGATAGAAGAAATCCAAGCATTGAAGCATGATTTAGAGATCTACTTAGACTCATGGATAGATAAGTAAGTGATGAGGGGGAGTGTGAAAATCATCGCTTACCATCAACCTCCACCAACCAGTATTGCTACAGTAATTACCAACCCCCCAATAGTAATTATCAAGCCCATAATAGTATATACCTACCTCATAATAAAGCCTATATACTAAGTTTGATTTGTAAGGCATCTAAGTAGCAAGAAAGAGAGAGGGAGGGAGAGAAAAAAACAAAGAGAGAAATAAAGAGGAAAAAAATAAATAGTGAGTGTTTATAAGAGCATCTCCAACGCACCCCTATTTTGATGCAAATACCTAATTTGGCGTTAATTAGCTGCTCCAACCGAACGACATTCATTGCTCTAATTTAGTTGCGTGCTACAGTGTTGCGCCATGGATGATGCAACACTGTAGCTTTGAAGCTTTTTAAAATCCCAAATTTACCCCTTAAATTGGTCATAACAAATAAAAAATTCCAAATGTATCCAAAATGAAAATTTTGTTAAATTTGTTAAAATTCCAAATTTGTTAAATTTGTTATAAGAAATGAAAATTTTCTTTTTTTTTTTGTAATATTAAATGTAATATATAGTTGAATTTATAAAAGTAATATTTTAATTTGATTTAGCATTTAATTTTTATATTTTTATTTTATTCATAAAATATATTATTAATTATATATAATGTATTATATAATTATATAATTTGTTAAATATTTTAAATAAATAAAAATGTTAAAATATAAGAATAATAAGAGGAATATTCTTTTTGGTGTAATGGGTTGGAGATGAAATAGTAAATTGGTGTAAAAACTACACCAATTTGATGTACTACACCCTTTTAGGTTTTTGGGTTGGAGATGGTATAAGGGGAGGGGGAGGGGTTATTCATTGGTGTAATTTGGGGGATAATGGAGTAATTTTTGGAACATCGCCTTTTGGTGTTATTCATTGGGATAATTGGAACTGGAGTGAACTTTGTGGTGTTATTAGTTTGTTGGTGTAATTGGGGGACAAAAACTCCATTGCCCCTAAAATTATCCCAGCTATATAAGCATGACTCAGCCCCCAAGCCCGAAATTACCCCATATCGCCTCCTGGAACAAAATAAATAATAACTAAGTATTTTTTAGAGAGTGTAGTAATTTGTAGTAGAGAGAGTATTCGTGTTAGAGAAAGTATTGAGTATTGCACCACTAAATAAATAATAACAAAATATTTTTTAGCGTCCATCACCCTTCAGAAATCAACAATTTATTCGCAGTCTCCTTCGCGTTAGCTCAAAAAAAAAACCCGTTACCTTTATTATTTTATTAAAAACTCCCCTAATGGCGTTGACAGCAATTTTCGCATGGTTGGATAAAATTACATAGGGAGCTTTTCGCCAATAAAAGGGAGTTTTGTGATAAACCCCCTAAACTGAGAGGGGTTTTTGATACTTCTGAAAGTTATTGGGGGATTATGATAATCCCTAGATTAGGTCCAAGCTAAACTTACGGCCCACTAAAATTTTGACCGGCCCAATAATAAGGTAGGCTAGGGCTGGGCTCCCTTAAATAAGCCCGATCGAGCCTCTTCACCTCTCTCTTCCAGGGTTTTTGCCTCTCTTCTCTTCTCAAGCGCCGCCTCTCAATTCTCTTGTGCGCAAAGGTGAGATCTTTGGACTTTTTCTCTAATCTACTGTTCCCCTTGCTCGCTTCGCCGTCGATTATGCTAATTTTCTGGTGATCTTTAGTCGCTTATTATTTAAAATTTATTGATATGGTTGTAGTTTTGTCGCTGAGAATCTTATCAATAGGTTTAAATAAACTATGCTAATGAGGATTGTGATTGTTCTGATGTTTGGTTTGATGTTTATTATTGTAAATTTTTAGGTTACAAATTTTTGGAAATGTAAAGGCCTGATTTTGATTTTTTTTATTTAGTGTTATGGAGTTCATTTCAGTTTGTAATCCTACCTCTGTGTAGTTGAATCTTTATCGAAGTTCATTTCATTTTGTTTTGTGCGAAAAAAAATGCAGTTGGTTGAGGGTCTATAAGTTCCTAGTTTTGTTCTTTTTCGTTGGTTCTCTTGGATTAGTTAAATATTGTCTCAAGATGCTTCGGCTTCTCAGTTAAAAAAATCAAATGTTTACTGGCAATTAGGTGTCATGATCTAATGATTCTAATAGCCTGCAATTCAATCCATATTGCTGAAGCACATGGTAGGCTACTATGCTACCTACCTAATTATGGCATTTGTAAATGCATCAAACCCAACTTTTTATAAGTTTTCGGAGATTTGCCTTGATAATAAAGTGGCCTAGTGTTCTCAAGATACCCTTTTCGGATACCTAACTTTCATCAAATTAGGTTCGTTTTGAACGTTTTAAGTACACGCCTTATTCTGAGCTTGACGGAATTCAGTCGTAAGTTGCATTATAATACGAGTTAGTTACACTAGAACAGCCATGTTATGACCATGTCAGAGAGAAATTTTATCAGAATATTGAGGCGTGACTATGTGTAAATCTTACTTGGAAGCTTTGTTACACACACATGCCGACATGGACACGAAACCCTGCAAGATGGAAAGTTCTAAATGATAAATGTATGTTTCGCATGCGTCTCTAATGACATTTCATGTTAGAAATGTCTGTGCTACAAAACTTGGAAGTTACTGATATTTATTTACACAGTCTCCATCAGTATTCCTCTTTGGGCAATGGTTTATGGAAAGGTCCGTTTTATCCCTCTACTCTTTATGCAAGATATGTGTCATTTCTGTAGTATCCAAGTTCTGTTTTCTGCACTCTTGCTGAGGGGACGGCGAAATGTCTCTGCTCTGTGTTTGAGACTCTAGAATCTGATTGACCTAGAAGGTCCGGTATTGGTAATCTTTTGGATGTGAAAATTTTGAATGTACTGATGAGCTGACTCCGCGGAGCTCCAAGAACATGCGTTAGGAGAAAAGGATGTCTAACATAAAGAGGATGCAGCTTTTACGGTTCTTTTGATTATGGTTGGAAAGGTTTCCATGCTTGTTTAGTACTCTTTCCATTGTTATTTGATTAGTGGTTCACTTGTTAAAATTCTGCAGATTGATCCTTTTAAGGTCACGTTGATAGCTCAAAAGTAATCAGATTTCATTATTTTGTTTCTGTTTATTGTTGAGACGAGTGATGAAGAAGCAATGGCCATTTCTGGTTTAGCCATTTTCTCTATCGTCTTTTTAATAGGCCTGAAAGAGGGTAGTCATGTTCTTTAGAGTTGTTCTACTTTCATTTTTTGTTCTTTAAGTGTTTCCTTTTTGTTGTATCGTAGCTTGCTTGAGTGAGTATTTTGGCTGTTCCTATTCTTTCTTTCCTCACTTTTCCTTCCGCTGCATAATAAGTTGAGTGGATCAGTTTATATGTTATTCATGGGAAATGTTAAATGTTAATAGCACTTGTATATGATGTGGGGACCTTTTCTCGGACTAAAGGGGTAATAAAAAAAATCTTGGATATTGTTTCCATTGGCAGACAAAATTTATTTTCCCTCGTAATATATGATTACTATAAACCTAGTGACTCTTTTTGCAGAGAAGATGGTGAGAGTCAGCGTTTTGAACGATGCTCTGAAGAGCATGTACAATGCTGAGAAGCGGGGGAAACGACAGGTCATGATCCGACCATCCTCCAAAGTGATTATCAAGTTCCTCCTGGTCATGCAAAAGCACGGTTGCTCTCTTTAACTCTCCCTTTCTTTCTTGGCACAGTTTCTGTTCCCATACTAACTAGAAATTCCAATTGTACAATTTCAGGATATATCGGGGAGTTTGAATATGTTGATGATCACAGAGCTGGTAAGATTGTTGTAGAATTGAACGGGAGGTTGAACAAGTGTGGAGTTATCAGTCCTCGTTTTGATGTTGGTGTTAAGGATATTGAACCCTGGACTGCTAGGTTGCTTCCTTCTCGACAGGTGAGCAAAGAGAAATTTTGTTTTGGGGTCAATTACAAGAATCCCCCTTCATCTATACTTTGTTTAAAATTACCAAAAAAAAAAACAACCCTCTTCAACAAAGTCACACAAAACCCCATATATGACCATAGTGAAATCATGGGATTTGTTCTTTACAAATAAGGTAAATTTCACAAACCCCCTAAAGTTTGGGCATTCTCAGCTAACTTCCTTATCTTTCAAAATATCTCAAAACTTCCCTTCAGTTTTTTTTTTCAGGAAACCCCTAAAGCTAACAGTGTTACTTCGCTTATGTTCCAACTTTAAGGTAGTTTTG